AGACTTTGACCCCGTCACCTGAACTGCCACTTTGTAGTGAAACTGTTCAGGGCATGTCTAGTGTTGATAGCACAGTCTCGATAGGCTTCAGCCTCAGTGTCTCATGGGAGTTGGCCTGCTCTGCCCTGTAGGCAGCTCTGGCTCCAATTACCCTGGCCAATGTGCCGCAGAACTGTGTCACTCTGAATTATACATGGCCTTTGTTCATCCTTAACCCAAGAGCACTGGAGACAGCAGTGGATCATGTTTACACTCATCCTTCCGTTAAAACATTTATGAAGCAGATTGGTGGCTAAAAAACTGACAAAAATGCACCCAAAAAAAACAGGATGGACACAACTTAGCTGTACTGTGTGTCTGTTTGTTAACACTCGATGGTGTGTAGACGAGACAATGCACTGACTTCCACCCATTCGTCATGCTGACCTGCAGTAATCAAAGTTATGCAAACAGGAGAGTGTGCTGCTTTGTGAAGTTGAAATCACAGGGGAAATCAAGATGTGCAAAATGGAATGGGAATTGGGTTTACAGCATGGGCTCTGCAGCTGCTACATTATGCAGGCCATCTCACTGGGAACCATAGATATCTCAGGATGAATTCTAAAATAGCAATTCACTTCTCTCAATTTTTACTTTTTTAAATTAGTTAAAGATTTTCTACCCGTTACGGATGCATTTTCTTCTATCAAACCAATAAACCTGACTTAAGGCCTGTAATGATATGTGCTTAATATTGAAAGAATTGACAGGCTTCTTCACCAACACTTGTACTTTGTCCTGGTATACTACAGTTGGTACAAGTTACTAGCCTTTCTAAAAAACCTTTCAATTGCAATATTCTATGTATAGCAGAATATTATAATGAATGTAAGCCATCTGATAGCAGCGAAAAGGTGGTAAATGAACTCTACTTGTAGAGCATGTTTCTAGTCTTCTGGACACTCAAAGTGCTTTACAGCACGTTGCACTCACCCATTCAAAAACACATCGACACACTGATGGCGGAGGATGCTATATAATATGCCAATACTTATAAGGATCCTATTCATACACAGTCACACACTTCTGGCCATTCCATCAAGAGCAATTAGTGTTCAATGTCTAACCCAATTACACTTCAGGGACTGGGATTGAACCAGAAACCTTCCAGTTGAAAGATGACTGACACAGCCACATAGCCACAGCTCAAATGAGCATGCTAACACCACTGGCATGTAATGGAGACATTAAATATTTGTATTGTAAAAAGTTTCTGAAGCCTAAAGATACAATGTCTCAAAAAAATTCCCCCAAATTTTTGAATTAAAAATTAACTACACCTATATATTTGTTTGTTCCTTGAATATTTCCAACTGTTATCAAAGCCAGACATTTCCTTAATTTTCTAGTTGTAACTGGCCGTGTCTTGGTACAGCAGACAGGTCAAAGACCGCTATGTAAGGAAGCGGGAGCTGCTACTGAAAGCTGCTCTACTGTTGTAAGTGCTGCTGCAATAAAAACGTAATGTAACTTATTCTCGGCTACATTAACCAATGTAGTAATAAATTATCTTCCCCAAGTCTGTTTCATCCGTCAGTATTGACTGAAGTCAACTCAAGAGTTTGTTTTCAATGGGGTGGGGGGTGGAGTAGCAGAGAATATCACTCCCATGATTCCCCGCCAACCTCAACGTCACTCTTCTCATTGTTTTGATTCAGAGCTCCCTGGTATCGGAATTGTCATACTGTGCGTTTCACACAATAAATAACATTATTTCCTTACTTTAAAATGTTAATTTAACAATACTGTATAAAACCTATATCATTTAAGTTCCATTATCGTATTGTGTTGTACAATTAGCCTGCATGCAGAATTAGCAATGGAACAAATATGCTGTCAATTGGAATAAAAGCTTGTACCTTTTTGTGTTTTGAATATTAGCAGAAATCTTAGTTTTATGAGGGCCCACATGCATATAAAGTAACTTCTTATATTTGTTATATGACTTAACATCAATGAACACCCAACAACCATGGGTATGAAACAAGCAAACAGATGTACAAATTAAAAAGTAATTTCCGTCTCTCTAATGGATTTTCTCTTTTAAGAACCACAATGATGGAGGTAGTTCAAGCTGATACACATTGGAAAGCTAATCAAGTCAACTTCATTGACTAATGAGAATCCATCTGTTATTGTGTAACCACTTTTCAAAACAGCGTTCCAGGGAATAGGTCATAGCAGTTTTCCTGATCGAGAGCTCAGTCATTATGTTAATTAGGTCTGGCAGTATGATGCCTGCATGTGTGAACTGTCTGTGCTCATAAATCCAGCTCACTATAATCCTGCCTGCTGCTATTGTTCGATAGTGGTCTGTACACCACTTAAAAATTTTCTGCAGTACTCAGTACAAGCCATCGGTAGAGAAACATCCACAGATAATAAACTCAGTTTTAGGGTTGCAAAAAATTAAAAGCATAACTGCATAATAACCTTTTGTCATTAGGAGTTGCTAGTTTTTAGTAGTGGACTGTCCTGCATTTAGTAAAGTCTATAATTATACCTTAGGGAAGAGGAAAACTAGTTTTAGAGGATAATTTCAGATCAGTGTAACAATTTTGTCCTCTCTGACCTGTCACAAAACTAATTTACATTGCCTAAGAAGGCATGAGCTAAAATGATTATTATTCCTAAAGCTGTAATGTTTTTTGTCACGCAATCCTCCAGCATGATAAAAAATACAAAGTCCATTGTGTGTGTGTGTGTGTGTGTGTGTGTGTGTGTGTGTGTGTGTGTGTGTGTGTGTGTGTGTGTGTGTGTGTGTGTTTAGTCCAAGCTGGTGGACTGGTCTCTGGGGTTATAAAACATACACTCACTGATGGAGATGTAAGAGCTGAATATGAGGTGAGATACGCATTACTAACTCAATTTAAGCCATGTATACTGGGGCCAGTTGGCAGCCATGCCAGCAGCTTGGCCGGGACTTGGGCATCTTCTTTGTTGTTGATGTCTGCCTGGCCGGCACTGCTAATGCAATTCATTATGGCTTGCGTTTGACAACACTTAGAAACAGTGATGAATGCATTTGCAGCCCCTTACTAGAGGGAATAAGGTATTGTTGCCAGTTTATCAATTGTGCATCCTCACCGGCCCAAACTTGTCAGTTTTTTGGGGCAAATGCATAAAATCTGGAGGAGAAAGTGAAAGCATTTTCAATAGCCCAGAACACCATGGCCTAAATGTTTGTTAGGAGTTTACTTTTGTGAAGTGTCAGCAGTTTGCAACAGCCAGTCCGTTTCTTCGGGGAGCTGAGCTAGAGATTTTTGCCTGCCAGAATTACAAATACATTTTCATTCTCATTCACCAAAAGAAAACTTTCTGTTAGGAAATATTTTGAATAACAAAAGACATACCATGGTTTACTCATGTTGTATGGTGTACGCCTGCCTTGTGTGTTCCTATCTGATGCTACTGTATGTAAGCCTTTCTCACTTTCTTTAAAAATCCTGTCTTGAGTCAGAAGATTTGTGCCACAGCTATATAAAAAAAAGGAAAACAACTGTTCTTTTGTTTATACAGGTTGACATTTCACACCTCAAACAACCTTGGAATGTGTGATAGAAATAAATGCTCCCACTCCTTATCTGTGCACTGTTATACATAACACCCTGCACCTGAACATGTACTCTGTGTAAAAGCTGAAATATGTTTTAAAAATGCACCTGGAAACCCATGGCCATATACTTGACAACACTGCAAGAGGCAGTCATATAATTTTATAAGTGTAAGACAACATCTTGTAACGTGTCAAATCTAACTTTGATCTGAATATGATTTCAGCACGAGCTGCTAGTCATGTGTGGCTGAACTGTCAGATCTGTTTATTTTTTGCCTCTGCAGCTCCCACGTGCTGGCTTGCACTTATGAGATAACTGCTGTCTGTGTCCTTTGTAAAGGACATTAGCAGTAATATACCGTACATACGGCTGACCTTCAGTTACAATATTTCTAGTTTCCTCCAAAGAAAAACAAAACAAAGATGATTTCTCAAGGAGTAAATGCCGTCTGACACGTGTTTTGGATAAAATATACTGTCGACTTTAAGTAAACAATATTAACAGAGATTTGATCATTTGGGATGGTTTGTGTTTTATCTGAACATAATATCTCTAGCAAACCCCCTAAAAGTCCAGCATCTGTAGATGCTGAGACAAATCAGCTCCAAGTTACGAGATCTTACCCACAGCAAAATACTTCTAAAGGGACTTGATGCTCCCCTTTTTCTTTGCTCTGATATGCAAGCACGCATTCACACTGCCTTGCAAACTCAAGCACACCAAAACTTTGGCCCAGTTGTTATCTAACTGAACACTTCAGGCTGAATCACATTGGAAGATGGATCCATAGTAAGGCGCTTAATATTCACATGTATAGGGCAATAAAAAAAAAAGAATTTTGGTAGGGGTTAAATTTCATTTGAAAAAAATCAATTACGGCATTTTTTGATTTACAGTGTTCTCAAAAAAAGCAATAGTTATACGAATAAACACCATAAATAGAACCTGCAAATTGATCGATTTGACAACCACGCAGGATAGAGGTCAATCCTCAGCTTGTATGCACAGTGAAATGTGGAACCATAGAAACTGCAAGCTCAAATTCTTAATATCAGTTGTTCAGTTTCTTTATCCACATTTGAACATAATTGCCTATTTAACTGGGGTCTAATTTTAGATTAGAAAACAAAAAAATCTTGTTTATAACACATCCAAAGAAGTGCTATTGTCCTGTATTACACACTCATATTCTCAAACCTTACATGCTGTTGGAGTGGAGGAAGAAAGAGACTAAATTAGAACAAGAGGGAGGGAGGGGGGTTTCCCCTCCTACAGGGAAACATAAATAGACCAGAGCAGTGTTATGGTAATGGGTTTGTCATAATACTGTTGTATGTTGTGCTCAGATACGCTTTATTTGGGTTAAGCACATTGAAAGCAAAAGCTTCTGATGCTGCTGCTTACCGTTTGGAAGCTTGTGACTGTTTTCCATCAGCCATTCGAACAGGCTGGCAAAGTTGCAGTTGCACACCCAAGGGTTACCCTCCAGCCTCACCACCCGTAAGGAGGGCAACTGACTTAGTGCCCCCACCTTTAAGGTAGACAGTGCATTACGCTCCAGTTCCAGTTCTCTTAGAGAGGTGAGGCCAACGAAAGCCTCCTCACTCACCATGCTCAGATACGGGTTGTTACCCAGCCGCAGTTTGATCAGGCTCCGGGACTCCCCAAATGTCCCCTTAGGGATTTCAGTCAGATTGTTGCTCCCCAAATCAAGGAACACAAGCCTTGAAGAGGTGCTGAGGGTCCCTTGTTCTATGTGCGAGAGGGAGTTGTTCCGGAGGTCAAGGTAGACCAAGTCACTGTACAGAACCAAGAAGTCCGAGGGGATGCGGGGTATCCAGTTGTCGGCAAGCAACAGCCTGCGCACATCCAGAGGGATCTCATCAGGTAAACGGGTCAGCCCACGGCCGCTGCAGTCCACAGTGTGAGGATCTGGGCACAGGCAAGTTGCTGGGCAGTTTTCCCCCCGGGTCAATAAGACAGAGGACAGCAAGATGAGGATAAGTTGGAGCCAGCAGGCACATGGCAACATGGTCAAGGGGGTGGAATGAATTATGGGGGAAAGAGGCTCGGGGTAAGGGTGAGTAGGAAAGGGGTTGGTGGGTGTAGAGAACAAGAGGGTGAGGGTCAGAGGGCAGGAGATCAGGAAAGGGGAGGGAAAGGGGGTAGTGAACAAGGGTGGATGGGGCTCAATCTTCTTGAAGGAACATCTCGCCGTTGTAGAGATAGAAATCTGGAAGGGCTCAGGAATTGTGAGACGGCAGAGCAGCAGCCAAAACTGGTTTCCAGGAGATCATATAGCAAGCTGCTGGGATAGAATCGCAGACTGCACGCTTTGAAGGAGCAAAGAGAGGGAGATAGTAAACGGTAAGGAGCAGGAGAGCAACAAAGACTTACAGAGAAGGGAGGGTAGCTTAAAGGAGGTAAATAGACACGAGCGTGCTGGGATTGATAATAAGCCAGGGGCACAGACAAGGGAGAGGGGGGTTGAGGAGGGGGCTCTGTCCGCCACGCTACCCCACAGTTGATCCGGCAGCAGTGACAGACAAAGACAATAAGGTCTCTGACACAAAAGGAAATATGAAGCTGTGATTCAAGCATGACAAGCAAAGAATAACATCATTGCATCCCTCCATTAGTCCGAGGTCTCTGTGTCGGTCTGAAGCGAGAGAGAGAGAAGCTCACGGAACATCGCTCAAGTGTGTGGTAAGGTTGTCCCCCCTTATTATTGCCTCTCTATCTCCCAGTTCCCTGCAACATGCTGTGAAAACACAGCACGGCTCACTCTGGCTCCGTATCAAGGCTGTGTTGCTCTGCAGAGAGAATCCAAATGTCCAGACAGCAGCCTCGTGGATGCAGATAGTAGAGCTGAGCTGCACACAGCCATGCCAATCCAACGTCTGCCTCTGAATCTACCACCGTTTATCTCATGCCCTCTCCCCTCTCCCTGTTTCCAGGGAGGCGTGCCTGAACCACGCTGTCAACATGTGATGTCACTTCCTAGTGTGAAAAAAAAAAAAAGGATGAGCAGATGTGTCTGAAAATGTCAGAAATATAATTATGATGGGGCTGTTTTTTAATTCAAGCTTATTTAGCTGCTTGTCCTTTTTACAAAATATTAAAGCAAATATGAAAGCAAATCAGCCTTAATTACAAATTTTGCAGCCTCCTTGCCCTCCATAAATTTACATTTAAATTTACATTTAAAACTCAAAATGCAGCCTTAAAAAATTCAAAATTAAATCTGTAACAATGGGTTGTCTAGCTGCTAAAAGGAAAATTATTTTGAAATGGAAGATTGAAACTCCAAGCTTCTTTAAGTATTTATTGACGCCAACCTCAACATTCTGGGTGGTGAAAAACACAGGAGCCATTAGTCTTAAGCCATAATGCAGAGAAGATGATTAATTCAGACTGCGTGTTGAATTTCCCAAATGGGATTTGCTTCGACAGGTAAATGTAATTAGACCAAGGTTGTTGCAGAGTGATGGCGAATTAGACCTGTGGGGACGAGGGTAGCGTGAAATTTCTAAGGAAGTAATGTTGTCATGGATGGTAATTGTGTACTCCCTGCTCGAGGCATCCACTGAAGTCAGACCAGTCCACAGCTTCACCAGCGCTGTTGATTCAGTGCCACCTGAGAAACGAGCAGGTTCTGTATCAGAAGAGATTTTAATCAGTCAGGATATCATAACTAGAAACTAGAAAAGTGGCATTTTTCCATTTGTTTCCTATCTACAAATTTCAACCTTACATCTCACTTTAATACTACAAAGTCATTGCTGTCTCACAAGCTTTTGATGTTTCTTTGAAATATCATAGTCATGCAGTTTCTTATAAAGAACCACCAGTGATGTAACTCATATATAGAGAATTCTTCGTGATGCGCTAGCTTGAGAGAGAAGCTAGAATATGAAAACAGAGCAAAACATTACTCAAAATGCTGATGTCCTGATTACCATTTTTCCGGCTTCAAAGCAAAATCACCCCTAAGTATTCAAAGCCTCAACTGTGGTGGGCAGAAGCCGCATTGTTTACTCACATACTTCCTTTGCATTATTTACTTTACTGCCATTATTGTTATAATAGGTCACAAGCGACACTGGCAACATACAGAGTGTACATGTAATGATTTTGGCTTATTGGCACTTTGATTTTTAGAGTTTCTATTATTACATGCATTTGTTTTAGGAGTACTAACTGATGGTTGCTAGGTAACTGAATCCCTTACATAGCCTAACATATTGTAAGATGTTAACTTACCTATTTGATGCACATGTAGATATGGATCCCAAAAATGTGGACACAAAATTTAAAAAATCGTTTCATTTGAATGAGTCACACAAGAGTGTTGCAAGTGTGCTGCAAGTGCGCTGCACATCTATGTGAACAGTCTACATTTCACACTCAATGTTTACAAAAATATTGGTACACAGAGGGGATGATGAGTCAGATGCACACCAGTTGCCTGCTCAGACAACATTCTGAATTATAAAAAATGAAATAAATGATGTCAAACGGCATGTTAGCCAACATGTCCCTCACACCATTTGACGTGTTGGCGGGTTCTGACTGCTTCTTTGTCATTGCTGCCTTCTAGGTTATCAAAAAACTGGTGTGACAAAGCCGTCCTGCCTCCTTAATGGGGATTCAGGCACCAGATCTGGGATCCATTCTTGTAATGCTGTAGAACAAAGTGAACTACCTTAAAATCTTACAGCAAGTAAAGCACATGGAAGATAAACAATTAATAACTTAACAACATATTTTTTTTTATTAATGGAAGAAATAAGGAACATGAATGTAGACATGCAGGATGTACAGTTGTCAGATTCCCAACTGTTGCCATTGTAGATCTCACTAAGTGAGTAATACTTGAGCTAATATTAGTCATCCAGTTGTAGTAGAGTTTTTTTTTTCATTGTATTTTTAACCACTCACAGATGCAAGGGCGAAAAACCATAGAAAAAGCTGTTCTTGGAAAAAGGCATATATTAATCTAGACCACATATTTCCCCTGCCTCGTCTCTGTCAGCTGATTAATTGCTAAGCAGCTCGGATGAAATGGACTTAGAGATACTTAAAATGGAGATGGCTCACATTGAAATGCAAGTAGAGCGCTGGCACTAGTGATATAATGGCCTCTCTGTTGCTGAGGGTTGTCATGCAGATGTCCAATCCCCAAGTGTGATCCCAAAAGTCTCTTGACAGCAATTTGTTGGTGTGAAAGCCTTGTAAATGTGTTTTGTATGGAGGTAGACAAAACCCTTTAGTCTGCTGGCTAGATTTTTATTCAGGCATACCTGAGCTGTAACCGTAATTGCTCAAGTCTAGCTATGATAAATTAAACTTCCTATACTTGTCATTAACCGACTGTTCAGAGGACACTCGACACCAAAGAGTAAATTTCTTTCTTTGGCAGATCAACCGATACTGGTGGACAGAGGCCACACCAGTAGAGATTTTTGTTCTGTTGTTTCAACTTGAAAATGTCAATTTAATACCACATCATTTTACAAGTGCAGGGCTTTCATCAGTGGATCAGCCAATCACCATTGTGTTCTTATTTGACAAGAGAGTGACTCAGCACATGTATGTAACTTAAAATCCTAATTCCTGAACATGTAACTTGAGATAACGCTTCATACTTGCTTCTCTACATTAAAAAACTTGAGCAAAAACGAATGACCTTCTAACAAGATAATCTAAGCTCTGTTGTATACACAATATCTACCTCTGTGTTTTCACTTACCTTTTTTCCCTTCATTTTTCTTGAATATTCTCCAAACAGTGGACTGGTGGTCTGTTATTGTCCATCCATCACTAACTTGTTACCCTGACAGGCTCTCTGGAAGTATTCTTGCCTGCTGGTCCTCATCTAAAATCAGAAACAACAAAAAATTACATAATGACGTCCTATAATGTATGACAAAAACTAGTTGTTGAAACCACTGTGCATTCTGTGTTTTTTAGTTAAAATATTTTATTATTTTTCACTCAAATCAAATAACCCTAGGCTTAAGTGCCTTACAGACCTAATCTCATTTCTTTATATGGAACTAAATCATTTGAATTATTTCAACAATGGAGCAATAAATGTAAGAATTGGATACACGTCAATGCATTACAAATGACATGTAAATGACTTATTAATAATTATATTCCACCAACTTTATTTCACGAAATCACAATAATTAACGTTTTAAAGGTCAGGAAAATAGCCATGGCTTCATTGTTGCCATGTATATGGGATACAAACATGGATAGTTTGGATGCAAAAGCCAGTATCAGAAATACCAAAAGCAGGTGCTTGGTACCTTACAACTCACTAAAACCTGTTATTACTCAACTCTACTTTGGTTTAAGTGTCTTCTTTGGCACTGAACATTGAACAACTTTTTCAAAAGTCTTTATGTCGTTGAATATTCATCTCTTGGGCTGCTTTGTGTTTTTCCCCCGTCTCTAAATGACTTTGACTTTGCTCGCCTTTTTGTGTCTATCTCAAAGTGACAGTCTGATGTGCTTCTACGCATGCTTGAACAGATTAGGGTTTTAAAGGCATATACGCTTCATTAATGTTGACTTCCACTTGCTTTCACTTCTGAAAAAGCTGACAACATGGGAACAGCTACAGTGTGTCATTTAGCTGCAGTAAACGTTATTGATCCATTATAATTACAGTAGCTTACATTTATTTACCGTAGTTTAAAAAAAAAAAAAATGGGCTGCAGGGCCAGAGTGTTCACAGCTTTCTGATCCTCTTTTTTGCACTGGTTATAAGTCCTTATCCTGCTACTTATTTTCATCTGTTGGTTGGTAAACATCTATGCTAAATTTTGTAAAACAGAATCCATTTTTGTGCAAATTAATATGCTAAAAAGTCAATATATTTATTAGCAGAGCGAGTGTTATTAATTCTATGTATAAATCAAAGTCAAACACACATAGAATGTTTAAAGATCACATGCTGATCTCTATTTCAACATTTATAAAAAGTCTCAGAGTTCCCCAAAACCTGTCTGTAAAGTTTCCAAAAATTCTGTATTTTATCAGTGGGAGTGTGAGCCATCTAGGGGAGGGGTTACTGCCCTTTGTGATGTCATGAAGGGAAAATTTTGGCCTGTTTGAGCACACATTTTTTGATAATGGAGCAGGCAAAAGATGGAGAGGATGGACTAGACTCATAATTGGGGGGTTTGTAAACAGACTAAGAACACATATTGTGGTGCAAGAAACATGGTCAAGTGTATTTTATGACCTTTAAGATAAGATATTTTCCTCTATAGAGATACTTCCCCTGCCCAATTTTTCACAGCTGATATTGGCTTGTTTAAAGCAATCAATCGTTTTATGTACGGATTTTTTAAATAAACAGTGAAAAAAAATGAACCTGTGCTTTTAATCTCAGCCTCAGGACTTCTAATCTCTCCCTACCACTTTTACTAACTTGCTTTTTTCTCCCAGGTACATAAGCATGTTTACAAGTATGTCAAGGCTCTAAAGTGGTGGAAAAGCTGAATGCTAGTTGGATTTTCCAGTTTGTTCCCTTCTAACCTTGAAACCTGAGGGAAAATGTTTGATATTGAGTTTCCACAAGAGGAACGGACAGGGCATTGCTTTCTCAAGAGCTGCTTGCACAAATTGATTTTCTAGTCTTTGCAGCAGTGACACGTAACTCAAGTGTTAAAAGAAGTGTAAATGAAACATGAGGGGGGAACAAGCTGCTGCTCGATGGTTTGGTGACCTTGTCAGTGGAGACACAACATCAATGCGGGTTTTTACCTTATTGATGTGACCGCAGGTTTTAAGATAGCTTAACACCAGTATGGTAACATCAGCAGGTAAGCAGAAAGTAAAAAAAAAAATAATCACATTTTATTTGGGTGTAATACCACAGAGGAAATAGTTGTTTGTTTCATTCAGTGTATCACAGCTTTTTATCACAATAACCTGGAGAGCGATGGTGCTATGTGGTAATTATTAAACTTGTTTCAACCATCATTCATTTCCATCAAAGAAGAGGAGGTTGAA